TGGTACTTGATTTTTCAGTGCCAAAGTACTTCCACTCACACTTATTGATTATTTTGTGAAATATTAACAATATAGAGATTTTTAAGTAGGTACTTATTTCTAAAGTAGCCAAATATTATATAATATGATAATATTGTTTTAAAAACCTGAGCTCTTGTTAAAAGATATGCATAGTTGCATTCCTCTTATGTCAGTTTGAATTATTCAGTTTTTGAACATTTTAAATGTTCCTTGAAGAAAGAAGAAAGTTACAGTAGGCTATCTTGAAAAGGACCCGCGTAGCTAATGTACATATTTAAAAGTATTATATTTTCTTAAATTTAAAAACATTTGTAATAGATATTGTAAAAACTGAGCTTTTGTTAAACGATATAATTGCATTACCTTATATCTCAGTTTGAGTTATTCAATATTTTATTTTATCTGTTACTGAAAAAAAACTTGTTTTACTAACTAGGCTAAAGCACTCAGTGATTTTTTTTAAAAACCCTTTCACCATCGATAATTTGTATAACTGTTGTTGCATTTTATTTTATTAGCAATCATGACTACACTTACTAGATGCTATTAATAATGTAAAATACACGACCTTTCATTATATAACACAACATTTATCAACAAACTTTTTTAATCAATATGTAGTAGAAAATAAATAAAACAGGAGATTATGAAACTCTTACTCAAAATGTGCATGTAAATATTTTAAATATGACTACTTCAAAGTTTAACATATCTATAAGCTTAAATGTCTATGTATAATAAAACTTGAACTACATTTAATTAGGACATATTCTGATATTATTTCATAGCCCTTTTATAATCATACCATAGTGTAGTTTGTTAAATTAAAAAAAAAATGATACAAATTCTCAACCAATTATTGCTTGAACGAACAGGAACAAAATCAAGTTTGTTATCAACCCAAATGTTGGGTTAAAGTTCAAAGAGTGCTGATACAATTGTTGTATCTTTCCTTTTCTACATTCAGTAACTAATGTAGGAGCTGACAATTGTGATTTTAATTTGTGGGAAGATGTGTATCGTAACGTAATTGTGTAATTCATCTTGTACCGAATTTGTGAAACAGTTTTCATATTGTATATTTAGTAGGAGCTAAGACATGAGAAATAAGTCAAAGGTAAATACAGTTACAACTTGAAGTTTTATCATGCACGATTTTAGGTTACTAATAGTGAAGCCATTAATTTCTTAAAAATCAAATCACATGTTATTCAAAGTAACATTGTGAGAGAGTTAATTTTTTAAATTTATTTTCACAGTTTTATTTTGACATTTTTTGGGACACATTAGCCTTGTAAACGGAATTACAATGTTTTCTACAATTTTCAACAGTTAAATTAGTTAAGCCCCATTTAAAGACAATAATCTAGTTTCTGAAGTGTTTTATTATAGAAACATAACTGAAAGCACATAATTTTGCATCAATATTAAAGTGAACTGTGTTATGTTATGTAACAGGAGTCAAATCTGTGTTGAGGGATGGACAGATTTGATTAAAGTGCAAATTTTCCCCTATTCAATTAACAGTGAGTTCATTAACTTTGCTATGTTAAAATTAAGTACAGTAGACAAAAACATGTACATGGGTCCCCTAAAGAAAGTATATTAAAAAATTTAGAAATAGGCCTACTTTGCCTACTTGCCTACTTCTTTTTGAAAATGTAACAAATGAGTAGTTTTGGTAAGACGAAGGTCTGGGACCATTGCACTTTTTATGTTATAGATTTCCTGAGAAAAACTGTTCGTTTAAACTGTTGTTTACGTTTGAGGATTCAATTAAAAATTTAAATTAAACATTCAAATTATCATCTAGATTTGAATGATTTATTAAATTAGCCCAGTTTGACCATGGAAAAGGGTTTGTTTGAGATTGTGTTCTCCAAAAATTTGTTTTTGGGCTTTTTACTCTATTTTTTACCATAAATGTTTTATATCATTCACAAATGGTACTTAAAAAGACAACCATTTAAATATATAATACATTTTTGTTCAACAAATCTTGAATAACAATTGCTTTTGAATAATCTGAAATTATGTATTGGTTGAGGGACAAAGATTTCATTTTCTCTTAACTAGCTGATCCCCTCACAGTTATCCCATAGTTGATTCTTGAAGAAAAAATGTGTCATAATTAATGATTGGAGTCTCAAGATTGGTAGTGTATCAAATTACAGAGTACAAATGGAGCTATCACCATTATAGATTGGTTATTAATAGATAATGCATTGTGATCATTTTTGTCTGACATGTATTCAAATCAAAATTATTTTGTTCCTCATAGAAAAAACCTTAAGCATTCATTTAGCCAATGTTATTCTCTCGGAGTGTGGATCAAACTATACATTTAAATGACAACCCTGTCTCAAAACATAAAAATTAATAAAATGACAACCTTCAACTCTTGTTCTATTGTGAACGTAGGCCTACTTTTACTACAGCTACTGTGGTACTTAGATTAAACAAAAGGTAGTTTACAATGAGCAGTTTGGAATTTTGTCAAGTTGTTAAAAATAGTTTGAATCCAACTATGTTTTTATTTGTCTTGTAGTGTGGAACGTAATGTTTTAAATGCATAATGTAGCAAATGGTCTGTGTTTCTTTAGCAGTATTCTCATAGAAAAACATAAATACCCTCATTGCAGTAAACCTTAAACAGGAGAATTCAAATATGTTCAAATAAATATTACATGTTTCAGTTGCTAGGTGTTCTCAATCATCCAATACGAAATTATAGTGTCTTTAAAATGTATTATTTAATATCAGGAACTAAGTGAAAATCAAGTAGATTGTCTAGATTAGAAAAAAAATTATATATTGATACTGAAACATAAATGGAAAACTTGCGAGACAAGCCAAAACAGAAGTCTGAGGCTAAATGTTTTCACTCAAAACTCGACACTGCCTGCCAACCCGAGACTTGGCTGCTTAAATCAGTTTTCTTCTTTCCAAATAGACTTGACTTAATCCCGTTGACTCCTCCTGGAGCATAGGGCCTCCATTGGACATTATTGGTTGCTTCCCTCTTGATGCTTTCCCAGTTTTCCCTTTCTCCTTCAGTCCTCAACCAACGTCCTTTTCCACGTTTGTCTTGGTCTTTCCACTCTCAGAGAGGTAGAGAGGACTTGCAAGTCCTGACTTCACCTCTTAAATAAATAAATTTGAAATTTAATTTAATTTTCATTTAATTTAATTCCACTCTCCTGCTTATAGCCAGGTTCCACTCCATTGCCTCTTTAGCCACATGCCTTACCCATCTCCATTCCCATTTTTTTCTTCTTTTCAAGCACCGGAAAAGTTGTTTGCTTAGAGTGGGTCTACAAAGAACCCAAAATTAAGTTGTTTGTCGAGATCATAATTTCATAAGTTAAAGCCCGTTTGAAATGACAGTTACAAGTTTTCAAAAATGACAATACTATAAAAACAGAATTGTGTGAAAATGTGAGCAGCAATATTAAATCGATCTTTATTCCATAGTCTTCCAGATTCTTTATTCATAACAGTAAAAAAAACAACCATCAATGTATAAGCGCATTATAGGCTTGCTATTTGATTGTACTGTTTCTTGTTTTGTTTTTGTGGGGGGGGGGGGGGGGGCTGGTTGTTTATTTCCAGCAATTCTATTTGGTCAACAGAGAAACATTGCAATTGCTGCTTGCGTGTAACTATTACTTTGTTGTGACACTAGTGCTGTTTGGCTCTAATGCTATATCACTCTAATCTCTCTGTGACTACATCTCTGATGTTACGTCTCTGATGCTAAATATCTCTGAGAATACGTTACGCTTAGGCTACCTTATGATATTATTTTAACTTGTAAACATATGTTGTGAAAGTTATACATTTTAGTGTGCTTGTAGAGTTGGTAAAAGTTGGTAGTTAATCAATATTCTAATTGTATAGATCAAAGCTCATAGCTCAGTAGTTTGAACAGTACTTTGTTATATATGTATTCATTAAGTTTTGTTGGCTTAGCATTCTTGCGTACAAAAATTATTACGAATATACATTTTGTGTTTTAAAATTTTAGTACATTTTATGATTTTAAATTTATTGTTCACAAAGTTTGAAACTTGATTTTTATTTACAGTTTCAAATTTATGTAGGGCCAAGGAATCTTATTGATGGTTAGTTGGAGATGATGCAATAGCTGTTGAACCTCCTATCACTCGTAAGTTGGAAATATTTTTGGTGATTTTCCCCATTCCTATCGGAAGTCAAAGGACAAGCTTCTGAATAAAGTTTTCTGTAATGTCAGTGTTAAGAGTGCTGTGTGTTATTACCATTCTATAATAATTATGTCACCAAAATAACACAATATCCATTTAAAATTATACCAATAAAACAAAAATTATTTAAACACTTTGAACGTTTTCTCAGAATCTTATAGAACTATTTTATATAAGTGACTGCACCTGAAAATATTTTCTTTTGTCAGTTACTTTCACATATCAGCTGTCTCCTCTAACAAATATCTGACAAAGTACCCACTTTTATTAATAATGATTATAATGTAAAATTTTATAACTAAGAGTTAAGTTAATTTTAGATTGTGAATGATGTACAATTTTGATTTCATCACTATGTAACTGATCAAGATTTTAATTGATTTAAGTCAGAATCAACATTTAAAGTGTAAAGGAAAATAACATTTAATAATACAGGGTAGGTAGAAAAATATGTTTGTTATTGTAAAGGAGATTTCTGCAAATGATGTGTCTCATTAGTATTCTGAGAAATGAAAGACATTTGCTAAAGGTGAATGAATGAAGTATCAGTTAATCCATGCTTATAACATCTCATTTCCAATTTAGTCTGAAAAAACAAGCAAGGTCAAAGGCCACGAAGTTAATAGATGACATTAAGATGACAGTTTGGTGGGGAGAGTGATATAACATACTTGATATCACCTGATAATCAGCTGTTGACCTTGAAACCCCCCCCTCACCATCCCACTACCTACCACATGTACTGCCAAAATAGACAACAGGATCAACTCTTCCCCATCCCAATAATATGTGTTCTCCACTAGTCACTAGTTTTTTAACAAACACTTTTTCACTTTTTTAATAACAAGTTTTAATTACTGTATGTTCTTGTGATTTTGTTGCACCATGGATAACAGTGTTATGGAGGCAAGTGTTTTTTATTTAACATTGTTTGGATTTATTTTTAACTGCTGCTCTTCTTTTTACTGTCAAATAAATTAGGGGTCAATATTAGTGAAATAACCTGAATTCATACAGCGGTACTTTGAATGTTTTAAGATTTTTTTCCTCGTAAAATTTTGATTTTTTAAGCAATTATTTAAAGTATCTAAGTGTCAATCAATTTAAATTAATTTGTGATTTCTTATAATAAATTTTATGGTGTGATATTTGTATATTAGGTAAAATGCATTGATTTCTTCTCTATATACAAGAAGAACGTAAAATAAATTTAGAAGATTTTGTAAATAATAAGGCAGTAGTAATTTTTTAAATGTTATTTGTTTTAAACTACATCGTACATCGTCTGTTTTTGTCTTGATGAACTAATAATATAAGTATTTACCCTTTAAATACTTAAATAAGTCTGTATATAACAAGAACCGCTGTACAGTAAAGTTAAATGGACACGGGTTCCCATAACTAATCTTGTCACACGAGTCATTGTAACAGTGGTAAACAAACAGAATTTTCCATAGTTTTAAGATGGTCAGGTAAAATGTTAAAGCAAAGTTGTGCTGTTAGATATAAATGTAACATGAGTAGGTTTATCTTATCTCATGTTAACTTCCTTTGGCAAATTCATGGTCCATCCAACCTCAAATTGACATACCTCAATATTCCTTGATAACCAATATCAATTATCAATTATCAATTATTTAAGATGGGGACACCACTATGTGCGTATTTTAACCCAAATATGAGTGAAGGATGAGTGTAGGATATCTTGTTTAGTCCTTTAAAATTCGTTATATTAAGGTTTGACTATTATAATTTAAAATTATTTTAATATATCACAGATTAATTTAGATTTTTATTGAATTATGTTCACAGTAAAAATAAATCTTTGCTTAAGTACAGCTAGCTCAGTACCTATATATATAATTAGCTAAATGAGTAATAAAAAAAAACTGCCGGCTGCTGGAATAAAACAAAGCAGGAACAGCGGACAAAAATTATAATGCATTATAATTCACGCTAGCAAATATTATCTATCCGAATTTAATGAAATTCACTACGAACGTTTAAACCTACCTTTCTTCAAACGAGTTCGCGAACTGGTATGACCGGACTATGGAAACAGGGTTTTATGAAAGAAATTTATAAATTTTATGTTTTTAGGGTCAAAAATGAGGAAAACCAATTTTTCTAAAACATAATTTTGAAATTTCTTTCTAAACCATTTTGTAGAGCTTATAAAATAAATAGTTTAGAATATTAAAGCGCATTGTATGCCTAACGGTTACAGAGAAAATTCAAAAAATGTTAAATTAAAAATTCCTATGATATTTTTATGGAGAATAAATAAACATTTATATTTTAATGACATTTTGGCATTTTTGTTAGTTTTATACTAAGCTATAAACATTACAATTATAAAAAGCTTTTACTTCCCTGTAGCAGCAAACCTAATTACTCGTAAAAAAAAGATATTTTAATTGGAGGCAAATCTTACAATTTTACAGGAATATTTAGTGGCTGGGGTGGGGGTATTTAGTAATATTACAATGATGCCCTATTTGTCAGAGATGGCCACGACGTTGCCGTGATCTTAGGATATAGCGACGATGTTGCTGTGATCAAAGGAGATAGCCATAACGTTTCATCATATGATCACTAATTTCACGATGTTGCTGTGATTGTAGAAAGTGATCTAATCCATCTGAATTTCCGGGTGCTATCTAAAGAAGTGAAACCATAAAAAATAACACATATAATGGTTTGTGATATTTCAATCATTTTCAAATGTTCCGTGTTTGGACATACAGCCAAGTTTCGTGTATCTAGGGTTTCTTATAACAAGTTATTTTTAGAGCTTTATAAGCTTGTACTTTTGACAATTTGTACTGGTAATGTTCCTTCTAGTTATCAGTTGGTTATTTGTTTACATTTATAATTTCAAGTTAAGAAAGTTAAGCTCATCTACATCTCAAGCCATTTTAACGTAAACTTGTTTATTTTTTAAATGCATGCTGTTAAAACAGATTGTCTTTACCTTTTTATGACAAATTTCAACCACAAGGGTTTACCAGTACAAGACCGATCAAATGGTTGTGCTCGGGGTGTAATTGGTTCAAATGACTTGGAGAACCCCTTTATGTTCTGTGTTTCTATGAAAATATGCTTTCAATGCCCCAATGTCCCAATGTCCAATGTCAATATTGGTCACATTGTTGCCTCCCTCCCCACTTCCCTCCATATTATAGTCTCTAGTGTCTCTACAAAGACAAATCCCTAAACTTATTTGTATACAGGCTATATTACTAGCTTAGTCTTTATGGTGTTTGATGATAAGGTGATGTATGCTTTTACCAGGTGCATAGCGGAGGTTATTGGTGCAATAAAATGCTGTTAAAAAAATTATCGACCCAATACATTAGGCCTATAAGCTTTTACAATGAATTATCTTGAACAAAATTAATTTAAATAATTCACTATCCATAAATAGTTTCTATTCTGGATTGGATTTATAAATTTGCATATTTTAACCTTTGCATATAAAATGTTATCTTACTTTTTTGTTTACTTTATTTTCCGCATCACTTCTATTGGCTATTTGAAACATTTAGCTTAGTATGTAAAATCTACATATAACGGTAGTCAGTCAGCTGTATAATAAGTTAAAATCCCTTAACAGACAGAAAATAATTTTGTATATTTTACCTTTTTCGTATTTTTCAATTTTTGGACTCAATTGGATTTTAAAATAATTTATTTCAAATATTTCAATATCCAATACTAGATCTGTTATTTGTAGACATTTATATTTTTAAACATTGCCTTAAATCTTAAAGCTAATGTTATAGTAATAATAAGTGAAAATCATCTTAGCACAACCATTTATTAACATTCGAGAGATTTTTAACAATTATTACACTTCTCTAACCCTAACTGATGGAAGGTTTTTATTTTAAATGTAAATTCCAACACATATTCCTTTTCCTCAATATTTTGTGTAGGTTTTGTAATTGTTTGAGGTTAGCAAAATTTTAAAGGTTTATTTAGCCTACCATTTTAAATAAATAGTTTCATTTTTTAAATGGATTAAACGATTCAAATGTCTTATCGGATAGTAATCAGGTAAGCTATAGACCCAGAGATTACCCCTTGAATTTATTTCATATCTATCTTATCTTATCTTACCTAACAGGGGCAGGTCGAGACCTTAAAGCACTTCATCCGAAATTGAATTATTGCGCACCCCAGAAAATGCTGCTTTCATACCTAGGCTAGAAACCATGATAGAATAGTTTTATCTCTATCAATAATTTCTGTCAAGATCCCATGGATTGGAATGTAGTTAATTTGTGTTTTCAGTGACTGAAGGCTAATCTTATCTTATAAAAGGCTTGATTCAAGATATCATATTTGTTGAGCTTGACTACTGACTAGTTATTATGGAACTGGATAATTTTTAATCTACCATTTATTTATAATATATCAACACTGCAATTAATAATTGACCCAAACCTGGTATCATTCATACTCTGTACAAGAAAGATAATATTTCCGTTCAAATGTTAGCTCATGCTAACATCTTGGATTATGGTAGTATCTTGGACTATTAATACAACTAGACATTTCATCCCCATGTTAAATTTATCGCCAGTTTTTTAATCAAGAATTAAAGAAAATATTAATAAAAGAAACCCAGCGGTGTGAAAAACTAATAACTTTCCACACTCGCTCAAACCAAGACCACAGCTTAAAGAATCGCAGCCATCCAAATTCCAGATAATACTGTACAATTTACTGGGCTTGTTGTTCTTGGTCAAGCTAATGGCTAAAACCTCAACCTACTGTATTTTACATGAATCTGTATCTCATATTGTATGGATTTTTTGTATAGTATAAGTACAGTAAATGTTGTTAATATCATATATCTTGTCAAAAGTAAGAATTTTCCTCTAGGCTGCAGCGATGATTTTTCTTCAAGAAGCACATAAATTAGATTATACAAGATAAATAATTATCAATGTTAAAATTCTTAGTTAAAGTTCTTAGTTAAAATTCTAGCTTGTTTTCTTCCTTAGAGGCATGAGTTAGAGGTTGGAAATCTCCATTACCATTTTAAGCTAGAACTAGCTACTCTCTTTACTGTATGCAGTGGTGTAGTTGAAAATTTTTCCGTGCGGGAAAGCTCACGATTGTCGCAAAAACTATATGGGTAGCATACCAATATATAGGTTGGAACGGTGTTCCCACACCTTCCCCATCTCACCCCACTACAACACTGCCTGTAAGACGCATACATGTCCAGATAAAAGATGTATCAATTTATGGAAGTTTTAATAAAATCGTTCAAAGGAAAATTGATGTGTATTATTTATTGTTTTTTCTTGTGTACATTACTACCGTCTATCTGAGTAGGGAACTAGAGAGATGGCAAAGGATGTAAAAAAAGAGAAGGGGTCATTGGTCCTGATAGTTTGTAGTTTGAGATCCTAGCACTGCTCCGAAACATATTTTTGAATCTTCCCTGGGCTTGCTCAATATTTCGGAGCATCCCCTGAGCTTGCATATTATTTTGGATCATCACTTGAGCAACATTTTCTTTTTTGAGGCAGTGCCTTGTCACATCCTGTGCGGGGAAGTGCCATTCAGAGCGATGCAGCTAACCATTTAGTTCCGTTGCCTTGAATTGCATTTAATTATGAATAAGCTGGTTAATTAACTTATTTCTGCCTGTAAACCTCATACTCACAGATGTACTAATGAAACCCATTAAGTTTCTCTGTTATTTTGAGTTTAAAAAGTAGAACAAGGACTTAATTTGGAGATGGCCGCTCGATGTAAAAACTAGTTTTGACTGAATGTCGAGTAATCCTGTTACAAGGTCAAAAGAAGCAAGTTATTTTTTATTTACCACGTTTATTCACATAGCTTACTATAATTTGTAAAAGTTTTTTTAGTTTTAAACAAACAACAAAAGATTTTTAAAATCTTAAATTAAAATAATTTATAAATAATATTTTTTTTTAAATACCATGTTTTAAACGCACAAAAAAGTAGAAAATAATTTATAAATATATAGCTATAAATAAGCTATAAATACTTGTAAGATTTAAAACGAAAAACGTGGGGCACTTGCAATGGCTAATTTACGATTATCTTAACCTATTGTATTATTATTATCTATTACATGCGCCCTACGTTTTTCGTTTTAAATCTTACAATTAATTATTTATTCTCCCCACATATTTATAAACTATTTTCTACTTTTTAGTGTGTTTAAAAACGTGGTATTAAAAAAAAAATATTTTAAAATTATTTTATATTTTTTAGTCTTTAATGTGTAAATATGTAAATATGTTAAACATATATTTTGTGACTTATTAATACATAACCAAACCTTTTTAACTGTAATCACATGTTGTAGCTACTATTCTCATAATCATAAAACTTTAGAATCCCTCAGGAGCAGAACCTGTACTTCTTAACCTCTGCTCTTTGAACAAACAGTCAAATTAAAGTATTTACAGCTGACTTTAATTGATATATTTACATTCATCCAAAATGTAATCATTTAAATTTTGGAAGCCCATGGGGCGTAGCCCAAGGGAAATATGAAAATAAAATTATTTAATATTGCATTGTCATCCATTTGTAAGCTATGTTTCAAGTTTCAAGTCTCTAGCTCATTGGGATGTTCGATCGATAGCTTAATTTGTACCGAACAGACAAGAAAGCGAGCTAATAAAAACGTTTTAATAAGTTAATTTTTCAAGATAAGATGTTTAAAACTACAGTATTCCAAGATATTTCTTTTTGTTTCAGGGTTCATCCACTGGCTATCCAAAACGAGTAAGCACTGAAAGATTACAAGAAATATTCAATAAGGTAAGACATTGCAGTTATATAGATGATCAAAAAAACAAAAGAACTTTTAGGATCGCTTAGAGAATTGCTTTTATACCTTGATATGAAGTTTTGAAGAAAATGGTAAACTGAGTTGTATCCTCATATTGATCCTCTGTACATAACTCTGCTTCTAAAATAAAAGCTTGGTATCATGCAAGTTCTTGATGGCTGCATTGAGAAAATACAAAACAAGTTTTCTTAACAGTATCTATAAATAATATACATTAAAAACTTTAGGAATCTCTTATTTAACTTACTTTTTATACTTTTGCTTTATTTATCGTAATCATTACTGTATTGGATTTTTTCGCAGTGTTTCAATGATTTAATAATTACAACTTTTATTATTTAAACAGTTTACCTGCATATCACTGTCAAAATTATGGTCTGAACCATTCATTGCTGTACATGTACTTTTGTGTTTCAATTTTACAGTATGCTCACACAGAAAAGAATGGCGAACGATTCATGTCTGCAAAAGAGTTTGTTCAAGACTTTCTTGGACTTTTTCCTGGCAGTGGAAATGATCAGAGCATCAAACTGCTGGCTGGCATCGTCGACACTAGCAAAGATGGGTCAGTTTACATTTTATAAAAATCATTACTAGAACGGTTTAATATCATGCAATGGTTTATTTCACTTCTTAATGTTTCTCAATATTTATTCAAATAGTGAAATTCCCAAATATTTATTAAATGTTTACCGTATTAGTTTCTTGATTGATCAATCTATTCAAATAAAAAATAAATTAAAAATTAAAAATAAAAATAAAAAATAAACTAACATTGCCCAATGAATAGATTAGAAATCTGTAACTGGTATCCAATCTCAATTGTTCTTTTATTGAGACCAGCTGAAATAACACTTAGTGATTAGTAAAGTGACTAAGTATTGATACTCATCAATGATATCTAACAAGTATGCTTTTGTTTTTGCAGCCTCATTTCATTTGCCGAGTTCCAGGCCTTTGAAGGATTACTCTGTGTACCTGATGCCCTCTATAAAACAGCCTTTCAACTGTTTGACATTAATGGAAATGGGATGATATCTTTCAGTAAGTATGTTTTAAAGTGGTAATTTTGATTTAATTTCTTATTCATTAGAATTCAGCTGGCTTCTTCTACAGATTGTTGAAGTGATTTTTTAAATTCAAGAATCTTACCATCCTGCAAGACACTGAGAGAAAACCAAAATATTTTACATTGAATGAATCATTTGTGATTATTCAATATTTAAAATTGTGAATTACTTTTCTGTCTTAACTGCTGTTTATAACTTATAATTTTTCCAGAAATGTTAAACAAATAAGGTTTACAAAATGGCAAGATTGCCAACTTTCCCATAATGGTGATTTTGTAGAACCATATTAGGGAAATATTATTTTAGAGGGAAACAAAGAATTTAATTTATAAAAGACCTATAAGAGAACCACATCTATGATTATAATATATTTATATATTTGTGTAAACACGCAACAGCTTGAACAAAATTGAAACCCTCATTGTTCAATACTAAGACTAAGCCAGCTGTGAGCTATGAAAGATGATTTCATGAATTTACCAACATGCTTTGAAGAAGTTATTTGTTATTATAATATAAATCCTATTAATATAAAATTCAATATTTTGCCCACAAAGTTATGTTAAGTAGAGATGGCTACACATTTTGTTTTTGTTTTGTGAAATAGTCACTGTGCTCTACTCTATCATGCAAACACTGAATTATTATGTGATGATCATTATGTTAACTTTTATGTTGCAGAGGAGTTCTTGGAGGTGATGAGCAAAACCGAACTATACCAGAGAATGCCTTTGCGTGTCGACAACAACTTCATCAGTTTGTATTTTGGTAAAGATAAGAAGAGAGTGATCAGCTATGCTGAGTTTAGTCAGTTTCTTCATGTAAGTGCTAAATACTGTAGTATTTTGTAGTATGTACTAAAATTCCAAAGTCTGTTTTCCGCAACTAGTCCTAAAAAATAAATATGTGCAGTAGACTCCTTCCCGTTCGGGCAGCAAAATTTTGGTGACTCACGCTCTCTCTCTCTCTCACACACACACACACAAGTGACTTTGTATATAGCCTTGCAAACAATTACAAACTGTTTGTCTAACACTGTTTAGTATGTACATATGTCTTTGCTGTGTTAGTAGCCTACTTGCTATATTTCTGTAGTACTGTACAGGATGGAGAGCGAGCTGGTTAAGTGGTAGAGCGCGGGACTACGGTCCTGGAGGTGCCGGGTTCAAATCATGCCAACCACAAATGGATTTTATCTAAGTGACATACCCCAACCACTTAGTCTAGTCTAAAGTAATGAAAACAAAACAATCCCAGGCTAAAGCGTAGAAAAACTTAAATAAAGTACTTCGCTCATAAAAATATATTTATTCATATTTGTAGTAACTCGTTGTAGTTCTGACTTTTCTTAGTTCAAACAAGGTCTCGGTTGAATGTGTCTGAAGTAGTGGGAGTCTAATGCATTTTAAATATATTTTAGAACTAAACGAGAGCTCGCTCCGTGGTCTAAAACTCAACCAAAAGTATGTATTGTCCAAACATCTCTATTTTCACCCCACGCTGTAAATAAAACATGTGATTGAAATTTCCATTTGTTTTGATTTTCTGTTTATATTTTGTTGTTATTTCTTCACCAACATTGCAACCCATAAGACCCATGTTAATTTTTTAAATCCATTTTTTGTGCTTATTTTTGAGCTTATTTTAATTTATAAAAGGATTCTGCACATCTACAGGAAAATATCTTTCATTCGGTACCAACCGCAAGTAATTCGGTCCAGTAGTATGGCCAGGCTAGCTGTCATAAATTTTGGAAAACTTTTTTAGTATATAAGTTTACTGTACATAGTGTAAAAGTTTTATGCTCTGAATTGATCTCTTATAGTTTGTAATAATAATACGGTACATTTATCTCGCCAATGTCAATTTGGTTTGTAGATTTAAATTAGACTGCAAACTTCTATTTTTATTTTTGTGTAGAACCAAAGCCATTATTTAAATGTTATCAATACATTTTTATAAACATTTACAAAAACATTAAGACTATTTTCTAAAATTAACAAATAGAAAAAATAATTGAATTGTAATTACAATAGTTAAGGCCAAAACATTGGCTAGTTTTAATGTTTAAAATCACCCATTAAATATTACTTTATTGTAAAAAATAGGTACCCATAGGTTATTGATTTTTGAAACTATTATGAAGCCACAAAGCGTCTTTGTTTACCCTGATAAGTTTTTGTGTCCAAATAGTTTCAAATGTAATTATTAACGTTAAACTCTCATCAGAAAATGATACAAGTTTCATCATTTGATGAGATAAAACTTCTGAGATAGCATGTAATGTCTTAAGTAAACATGCACCGAGTTACATATCCAATATTTATCTCAAGTCAATGACTCAAAGCTACCTATCTTGCATCTCAATGATGTAATACTCATTACATTTAAACCCTCCTCTACCGCATTTGTTTCTCAGTTCAGCTTGAACATTTGTGTTAGCTGTTGCTCAGTATTATTAGTTAAGGTTTTTTTTACTTTTATATGTGATATGGATACTGTTAAGAATAAAGTGAGTTATTTTATATAAAGTTGATATGATGGAATAACAGTGATGTTTATCTCACAAAAATAGTCTGTGTTTGTTGTTTTGAAACATACTCTTAGAATTTGTTTTGTAAAAGGTTAAATAATTTCATATTGACTAATAATTTATTTTCTAATAGTGAACTTTAATAATTAACATTAGTTTTTATTTGTTTAACCTCTAAAATGAAATGTTTGCTTTTACATTCCAATATTACGAATAAACAAAATTGCTTATTCATTTTAATTTTTAATAGATTCAATAATGGATAAAACTGTTATAATTTTTTTACCTTTAATGTTTATGTACATATCGCTTTATATACTAAATTAGTAGATAAGGGTTGTAAAATCAGCTTTATACTAGGGGCTTACAGAAAATGTTTCCTTGAAGGCACAACATTGTCAATCTCCCCATTTTCTCATTCTTAATTTATTTGAGCATCAAAGCTTGCATGCATAATATCAGTAATTTTATGTATGCGTTTTATCTTATGTATTAAGTCAATGTTGCCTTATAATTTTACTTTCCCTTTAGAGTTGTTGACAATAAAGACACACCATTTCAAATTCTGCCGCATTTTTCAGGATTTTCATGAAGAATGTGCGACAGAAGCATTCCGCCAGTTTGACAAAGAAGGGTCTGGCTTCATCTCGGCCCTGGACTTCAGAGATATTATGGCATCCATCAAAAGCCACTTGCTGACAAGAGAAGTCCAGGACAATCTTGTTGCGGTAACCAAACTTTAATTTTACTGATATTAAAGACATCCTTCTGTCAAGTGTAAAACATGTTTATTTGTGGTTAGGGATGGACGAGATTAGATTTTTAGTTCAAGACAAGACGGGATTTTTTATTTCTCATAAAATTACGAGACCAGATCGAGACGGGATTTCCCTTCTCATACATAACAGGAAATGCACGTTCCAAATTTTAACCTGATTTTTTTAAAATTTTTAAATACCTACTGATTTACAAACTAATTGAATAAAAAAAAAATAATAATAGACAAACATATTTTAAATCTTTTATTAAAATACATTAATAAAAACATAAGTATATAAAACAAATATTAATAAGGCCTAGCTTATTAAAAATAACTCTTAGGCATAGCAAAAATGGAGATATCAGTTAGTATATAGTTCAAATTTGAAAAATATCAAATTTATAAGACTAAAACAACAGTATTACTAGTTAAGTATCAAGTAACAATTTTTCAGTCTTGTGTTATTTTTAGAATGATTTTGGAGTGACTTATTTTGGCTATGTTTACAGTAGTAAAACATGTCTCACGCTGCTTACACTAACAAAACTTCTCATCATTTGCTATGTCAAAAAAAATTATAAAACAATTGAAGCAATACTGTATTTCCATGTAAAGAATTAATAACTAAATAAAAATGCCTTCACAAAAGAAACGCAACATCAACACGCTCCTGTATTGCGGGTACTGCATTGACTTTCTGCAGGCGTTTTATTTTAATTTAAAATTTTATTTAAATTTAAAAATAAAAAAAAATTGCAATCTTGTCTCAAAAAAAAATCTTGACCAAAATAGAATCTTGTCTCGTAGAACGAGATTTAAAATTTCCCAAAATTTTGAGACCCGTCCATCCCTATTTGTGGTGTAACTCTATTCAATAACCTTTGTGTTAAACTTAAAAATTAAAATCATTGTGATTACAAGCAAGTGTATTACCAGGATTTAAAATGCAATATCATTTTATACTAATTATCTAAGATTGACCCATAGTATTTAAATATGTCTTAATTGAGAGACAGGCCCATTAATAATAAAGTACAAATTAATAACACACTAATTTATTGGGTGCTGTGTTAAAATATTAATTACTAAATTAATAGGAAATGGCGTTATTCTGCAATAACATCAGAAATTAATTTTACAATATAAAACAGTTGAATCAATTCAGACTGTTATATTGTCCTACAAAGACATCAATTCCATTTTATTATTCAGAATGGGGCTAGGTAAATTCCCTTTTTGGATTTACACAGTCACTGCTATATTTACTGGTTACAGAGATGGGATAATAGTTCATAGGTAGCAACGGGAGGTTTTTATTCATGATCAGTTCCCATAATACAGTGGAACATGAGGGTTGCTTATTCCTGCAAAGTTTTCTTTTATTTGCGATTCACATTTCCCCTTGTGGACGAGTTCTTGATTGAAAATTAATTAACTATAAATTGGGTTAGTGCAATCTAAGAACAGGGAATATCTTGATATATACTGTGAATTTCAAAAACAATTTACTACCCTTGACCCTGTAAGATTTTTGTCTCTTTTTCCACAGGCCGCAGGTGGTGGCCAGGGGGGTCACAAGGTCAGCTTCCCCTACTTCATGGCCTTCAACTCACTACTCAACAATATGGAGCTGGTCAAAAGAATCTACCTCAATGCAACTAACGGCCATAAGGACCTAGAGTTGACAAAAGGTAAATTAATCTTCCTGGAACTAAAGTTCCCCAGGCAGGTGTGTGGCTGAGTAGGTATCATAGTCCAATTATTATGATGTTCAGGGTTCACAACTAAAGTTTTTCCTGCGTATTTTCATTGTTGCACTATCCTGGCTCGTACTTTTTTTTACGTTATGTGGTCCACACGTCACAAAGGATATTTAAACTAAAAATAAATTGAAATTTAGACAGTTATACTTATACATATAGTTTAAAAATAAGTAATTATCAGGGTCGCTTTTATAAATGAGCCCAGGCCCAGGGCAGGAGGTTTTAGGTTTGTTTTTAAGCGTATGGAAGAAAAAATCTCCCCACAATGTGGTGGAAAGGGACGCAATTATCTCTCGGGCTCATAGTGCATCACATTCAAACTGCGGGCCTGATTATTATTTTCAAAAATTTGGCTCATGACAAGCTTTTAGCCTCAGTTTAAAGGTTCTTATAGGGTTTATCTTTTTATTGTTCCACTGAACTTAACAAATGCAGATACGATCTTTAGCCTGCATTTTAAAATCATAGTATTTTCAAAAATATTTGTAAATACATTTTTGTGTTTGTTGGCCGATGAGATCCCAAATAAAGCTCTTTTCTGACATTACACTATTGTGATTTTATAAAATGTGTAAGCTATGCTATTTGAATCATGCAAAAACACTAGAAAGGTCCAAGTACTCATCGGCACATCATAGTTTGTACTGGTTTATCTACATTCCTTTAGTGGTAAAAAAATACAATTTTTACACTTTCTTTGTTTGTTTCTGCCCTGGAAAAAAAGCTTAGTTAATTTCACCATCCTACATAGTTGTTTGATTATAAACCAAATACTTAAACTAGTTTTAAAATGTAAATGCGGCTTTTCCCTAAGATAATATTGGAACTTTTCTACAGTAGTACTAAACATTGATTGTAAAAACCAATGCTTTTTATAATCAATGCTTCAAAGAAAAGAACTACGGGTTTTTGGAGGTACCCTTTAGATGCTCTTTTTTGGATCAGTTATTTTTTATATAATCAGATCACTCCACTATCAGTTAGGTAAATGTAAAGGAGTGGTAGGTTATTTTGTTTTGTTTACGTTTTACAGAAGAGTTCCTGTATTCCGCCCAAATGATGTCTCAAATAACCCCTCTTGAAGTGGACATATTATTCCTGTTGTGTCACCTGCTTCACCAAACTACGTGAGTTACTGTAATTGGCTTAAACATTTTAGAATGTACTAACCACAATTTAGTTATTTTTTTAAGCTTTTCTTATTTTGAGCTGGAAATATCTTCAGGCACGAGTATTCAAATGATGTCATACAGTAGAACGTCAATAATCCGGATTAATTGGTTCAGGACCCCATTCAGATTATCAAATTATCCGGATTCTATAAATTACCTTATAAAGGGCCAGCACCCATTATTTTATATATTCTATTTTAGGTAAAGTGTCTAAAAGACAGATGAATTAAAAATATTTAAGCTGTGTTTTCCTAGCAACGCGATTAAGCAAGTTACTCAGTGTCCTTCAAGCTACGCAGTTGCTGGAGCCACTGAACCCTTTGAAACCAATGGGAGTGTGTTCCTCCCATGTTAGTGACGCGGTGCGTGACTAACTGTTAACCGTCCAGTATACGGCGTGAAGATAACCTTAAGTCAAAGTATTCGTAATTTTACTTCATCGTCCATTGGGTGCCCATTAATAAGATTACTAAAATCACCCTCATAGCTATTACCATAGATTTAAATAGTTCACTACAGCATTTTCGCCTGTTTTACAGTAGAGCTAGCGATATGTCTACACCTTCGTCCATCTCTTCTTTGACCATCAACATGAAACTGAGACACATCTTTTCTCTGATCCATAGCAGAACGCTACTGTGGGTACCGCGAATTAGCTAGTCACGCAACGCATTGGTGTATTTCTAGGAAAACACTTAAGCGCTGCTTCCTACTTCAACCACGCCGTTCCTTAACCATGCTGCGTTCTTGAGCTTAACCAACTGCATAGCACACAGCGGATTACTGAAGTTGGAGGAAAACGCACCTTTTATGTTCAAACACTATACCGTATTTAATTTAAAGCAAGATGTGTACCATGTACAGTAAAAACATCAGACACTACATAGTTGAGCTTAAAAAAAAAAACGTGTAAAATGCTTTTGAACTGCGTTAGTGGTTTGTTTTGTTGCAGCTAAGTCCAATTCGTTTAAACATACTGTACAAAATTGTATTTCTTGCTAAAAACAAATCCGGATTATTGACGGTCTTCATTTTTGACGTCTGAATAATTGAGGTTCTACTGTATTTCATCCAATTATCTTGATATACTAAATACACTCTGAAATAATGTTGATTGTATTAATACAATCAAATACAATGATAATTACAAAACTTTTAGCAAACTAATAGGTTGATAGCAAACATAACCAAGATATTTTAATAATTTCATTTATTACATATTATATATTTTAACTTTTGCCTATTTGTGTATGTAATGTAGCATTTACTCTAGAGTTAAGTAAAATTAACTATACTTAGTGTATATTCCTCCCCTTCTACGTATTTATTTATTACTTATTAATAATTTGTATTTGGAAAGAACTGTTTTTAACTTTTGAACTAATGTGATTGAGGAATATATTATTATATTTATGCAAGAAATATTTTTTCCTTTATGTTATACACTCGATCAATAAACCAATACCAATAAACCAAATCCAGTCATTTTTCCAACACTCTTGTACAATTTGTACATGTCAGGATTAAAATTAAATGTTTTTCAATAAGGGTTTCAATTTTATCTATAGTAAAGCTGAATCATGTGACAGATGGTATTCAAATGCAGTTTGATTCGTTATTTTAACAGTGTTTGTTTTGTTTTGATGCTGCACGGATGGTCAGCACTCGATCGTTTGATGACCCCCATACGTGGATGTGGTTGGTGTGAGACGTTTGATATATTTTGAACTAGAAACACATAGAATATTCAGATTAGCTTAGATTCCATGGTTTTCAACCTTTCACAGCATTGGATCAATCTGTCTGTGGTTATGATGGTTGGCATTTTTGAAAATAAAAGGATTCATAAACATATCGTCGCTAAAAATTTTCATTAAAGCTTTAGTTGTTATGAACTTAAGAAAATCAAGAACTTAATGACACACAATCTCAAATTAAAAATTCCCCCCCCCCTGTTTCTCCCCCCCAAAAATACAGTTTTGTTGATATCCCCCATTTAATTCTCACAACCAATGAATCAGAATAGATCTTATTTCTGGACATATCCACATAAAGTTGCAAACATATTTTCTTATATGCCAGGCTTTTAAAATAGTACATGAAGACAAAATTTTGGATAACTGTGCCTTTACTGTTAAATCGTTCATTTTAAAACTACTCCAGATTCCGTTTTCTGACTCTTTGTAAACTTGCAGTAACTACTCTTATGTGAATATTACAGTAGGTGCAGGGAGATTTCACAATCTGTGTGATCTCAAGAGATATTTATTGTGCTATTCTGTCTATTGTGTGTGTTTCTACTCAACCTGTTTTGGTTTTTATTTGTCCGTTTTCCGCTTATCTCACCCAATTGCTTTACTCATGCTACTCCAATGTCATATAGTATTGTTCCCTCTACTAGGCTTGAAAATTACTTATCTTAGCTCGTTTGCATAATTTATTTGTACTATAACTGACACAAATTGTTACTTTCTTTGACAAGTTTGAATTGGGTTTGAACTACACTAACTTGCTATTGATATTGTAGTTATATTGAACCACTGAAAAGAGTCATGATCACATTATTTATATTTGCAAATGTAACTAAGAGCACTGTAAGAGAATGTATTGTGCTTAGGAATGTACTGAGAAACTTTGTATCACTGTTGACGCTGAGTAACAAATATTTGAATCATATATTTTGATTCCATAACAAAGTTATGCCTTGTTTTCTTAAATTATAGAATATAATCTAGTATATGAAGCTCATTAACTTTAGTGTATGATTATAAATTATTAGAATTTCTTTTGTTTGTATTTGAATTTTCTTCTGTGGTTTTGGCAATACTGAAAACATCAGAAGTTCTCTTGCTCCATTATCTGAAATATCATGATGTTTTTATCCTTAATGATAAAAGCCTTATCATACTGATTTAATTATTTATTCACAACAATGGGTCATTTTACATTTGAGTGCTGGTACAGTGTATGTAATTTTCAAGAACAAGTTTGGCAACAATAAGCATGTATATAAATAACAAACAGAAGGTATATAACAATAACAAGACACCAAATTAAAAGGCATTAACAATTAGATAGGCGATGGTAACAGATAATAAATAAAATAACACAATGATAATACAGTAGATAGTAAATTAATATACCTTTCTCCCTGTCCTATCTTCTAAATACATTTCTTATTAACAAGGTCATCTGAGATACATCAGGATATAATCCTTATTGATTAATCCTTTACATCGGTTATTTTGAATTCCTTTAAATTAAGCATATTCGTTTATTTAATGGCGTTAAAATGTAACTAACTCATTGAGCATAATATTATCTGTATTAGATGTAGACGAAAGTATTTACTTCCCCTTATTTTGAACCTGTTCCAATAATAATTACATAAAGCAACTAGGCCTCACTTAGTTCACAGATTTGTGTAACCAGGCAATTGAAGATTTCTCGCCTTTGCAGAATATTTCTACAGATGTGAAATTTGTCCCTGTTTTTTTATTATTTGACTATAATTGAGTTTAGCACCTCTGCCTATGCAGATTGCAGATGCATTTCTGGAAGTTTCGTCCTTCATTTTCAGTCTTCCCTTCTCACTGAATATTGCCAGCTCTCTATCAATGTCTATCTGAGCTATCCAGATCTATTCTCAAATGTTCCTAATAATTTTTGCTAATTATATTGCGTAGTCATAATTATTTTATACTTCCATCACTAATAAGAGTTAGCTTATCTGTGCAATTATATATCGATAAATCCAGTTTTTATTTCAATAACCATGTAAGGACATATTCTATGCTTCTTTTACTGCTCTGTTGCATGAGGATGCTGGCCACATTTTAATATAAGTTCTTTATATCCATTCACTCTTGACAATAATATTTTTTTACATTTAGTTGTAAACACAAATTCTGGTATCAAGCTATTCATTTCTCATGCCTTATTTATCATATATTGTAATTTCTTTTAAAGGTTAACACTTTAATTTTCTTTGTGTCAAATTTATTTTATTCTTCTCTTTTAAGTGTTTTAAGCTATAATTCTAAGACCATTTCAACAAAAAAATTCTTGCTTTATAATTAAAACTAAAAAATATACAAACTCTTCCATAATTTTACTTCCAGATAAATGCGAGGTTACACAATTATTCCTTATTTGATCAAGGAAATTCTGTAGTGTTAGTGATATAGTTCATGTTTAACCTCTAAAACTGTGAACAACGTTAAAGTTGTTAGCATGCAAAATCAAGTAAACACGCCTCTAAATTATGATGCAAGTTTTTGTCCTGTGCCTGTTATTTTAAAGTGTTCGCCATAAGCATTGTAAAAGTATATCTTAAATGCTCATGGAGTTGGAAATGCTGGATTCTGCTGTCCACATAATTACTTGCATTGTTTTTGGATGATTTTTCATTTTGGTCTAAATGATTGTGTGTTAAATTTTGCAAAAAAATCAACATTTTGTGGTACAACAATTTTGAAATCCATTTCTAGGTATACATAACAAGAATATATACTTGTAGATGTACATACAGTAGATTCCCTCATATTCAACATCAGTATAACTGACTCCTCGGAATATTCAACCATAGGTCCCATTAAAAGTATTACATATCTAATATGAGTGTATCGAAAATTGCCTCGCCTACAAGCTCCAAAGTTTGAATGTTAAGTCAGAAAATTGTGATCGTTGAAGACAACAATGATTTCTACGTGCCCGTCAATGTTCAGGATTATGCCGCGATCGTGGAGGACGATGATAAATTTTCCATTAGCACAGGAAATAATCTGGTATTACCGTTATAAAATTTTGGCATTGTTTTACTATAATTCGTATTCACTAATCTAGGAAAATAAAACTTTTGAGTAACCTCACTGCAGTTTGACATGTTTCAACCTTTGTACACATAACTGTTTTCCACAGGAGGATATCATACAGTGATCTAGAGTCTATAGCGCCTGAGCAGTTTTTCAAACAGTTTACAAGACTGGCTGAAATCCACGCCGTTTCTGTAAGTGATGGCCAATTTAAAATGTATTTTTGCCAGAACTAATTATTGCGTAGTGATGTGCTATGGTCAAAATAAGTTATTATCAACTCTATACTGGAAGACTGTTGAGAAGTGGTTGAAGTTATCTTCGACACATGTCAATCGGTGAAACTATTGAGTAAAAATACTGTACATTACATTGTATGCATTTATTATACATGATGAACAAACAAATTATTTTTTTATCTGCTGCTCACATTTATTGTATGATACTTACAAGAAACTAAAAAGCAAATAGTTTTAAGTAAGACCCATAAAACCTAAATATTGTGTTTTCTTTATTTTATTAACTATTTTATTTAACTAAATAGTTAGTTATTTTCTATTTAACTATGATATAGTTTTGAACTTAACTTAAACTTTTGTAACTCAATAATCCTATCAAAAAATACTGCTATTGGTAGAAAATCGTAATCATAGTATTTACATTTTTTACAGAGTCCAGATGAGAGAGGGTTCGTTATACAAATTTTGGAGTCCGTTTATCGTTTTACCCTCGGATCCTTAGCGGGAGGTATGTTAACATATTATGATTGTTTTTGTTAGTAATTTACTTCATACAACCCTAGTAAATACAATTGTTGGAATCGAGGCATTCATATTAAAATCAGGGCTTGAATTATTAGATCTACTATAAACATATGGTATGATACTATACTAATACAAAGTACAAAAGTATGTCAACGTAAGTAAGTCACAATGACAGCTGAACCAAATCCAATCAGTTATTTTTTCATATATTAAAAAATGACATGGTAATAAACTTTCTGACTCTTCACTATAAATCTCAACATTTTTTTTAAACAAGTTGTTGGATTTAAATCTCTCAATTTCATTTAAATTCCAATTTTTAATCTAGCTACGGGAGCGACAGCTGTTTATCCAATTGATTTGGTGAAGACGAGAATGCAAAACCAGAGAACGGGGTCTTTCATTGGAGAACTGATGTATCGCAATAGTTGGGATTGCTTCAAGAAAGTGGTCAGACACGAGGGCTTCACAGGTGAGGAAAAATGTGAAAAATCACAAATAATGATAACTCAAAACTATAATGGTTGCAAGATATTCAGAATACGCTTCATAACTATCTTGTAATCAATCTTATAATAGGGTATACAACTACTGATATCAAATCTGAAGTGAATTATACAAAAACAAGTATACAAAATTGTCAAAACAACTTTTTTGTTGCTTAAGGTTTAGTTAAAAAAAAATTATGTTTAGGCCTTAGGCTTTTTGTATTGTCAAACATTGGTTACATAAGTAAAAGTAGTTTTCTTTGTTTTCACTATTCCCATTGAAAATCGACTAGTTCTTTAAACTAAATCTTGCTTTAATATTGTCTAAAAATAACAGTAAGTAAAATTATCCCTTTACATGTTCAATGCGGCACCGAAATTGGCTATATCACTCGTACGGCTAAAATATGAAAACTCAAATTAACTTCCCGAATATCGTTTTGGATGATGATATGGAGTTATTTCGTCAAAGTTTTCAATTTTTGACGAGATATATGACGTCATTATTTGTGACAGGAATACTTGTCATGCGCTGCACCCGTCCGGCTGCCATGTAGAACCGACGCACGTGACACCAAAAGTAATCTTTGGTTTGTGATGTAAAATGATGGTTGTCCGTATCTCCTAGTTAATCTGCAGAGATAAAGTCATTAATCCGTGAAGAATTATCCATAATCATTCACTATTGCACAACACCTACCTCATATAACACACTAAAACACAAAACCTTCACACAAATAACAAAAACTGTACGCGACGGGAATGACACCGCCCGAGGAAACACAAAGGACTACTACATACAGCGTAACGAAAAACAACGTTGACGGCTCAGCTCATATCGAGGCAATAATTTTCTAGTGGTGCTTTGACGAGTATACTCGTCGCGCGCCGCTTGGCCGTGCCAGCGATAACGATATTACTTGTCACCCGCATTGTACGTGTTAACCCTGTTACATACATTATAATAAACTAACTGAGGACCAACTTGAACACTTTAAGGATTCAAAATTATTATTTTATTGAGGCTTGTTTTGACATGGATACTTAATTTAATCTTTTCATATAACTTTTGTATGGTCCAGAGGTTTCAATCCCTGATTTAACTTGTATAGCAAAACATATCTGCCTCCCATAAAATATTGTGCTCAAATAAACATTACATCTGTTTAGTTTTGGCCTTTGGGCTTATGTGAGTTAGATGTAATGTATTAAAAAAGTCCAACAGTGTTAATTACATTTTTTTAAATACAATAATACTGGATTTATCTTGAGTTATTCTTAAATTGTGGGATTGAGACCTCTAATATGACCTTTGTCAGCTTAAAATGGCTTAAAAAGTCCACACTTTCAGTTCTGTTGAGTAACCGCAGGTGTGATTTTGTAGGGTTTCAATTTCCAGTAGGTGGGTGGAGATAGCAGGCAAGATACAGTTTATTTAAAGGTTTCAAGGTCTTTTGTCTGATGCTATGCTTCCAAGAATGAGGAATGTTTCTCCATTACAGTTTCCTTTGTCTAATTTTAATATCTATGTGTCCTGTTCTGTTTTTTATAAGTTTAACTTATGCAGATTTTGGAGGAGTGCATCATTATTCATGTTATTCATAACTCATACAAGTTTCCAACATTATTCCCCCTGTGATTTTGTTCATTTTAAAGCATATTTTTTACGATTGGTTTTCATTTTTGTGCCTGTAAAATGTGAAAAAAAGTAATGTAAAATGAGCATTTAGATACATTTATTTAGTAATTACAAAAAATGTAAAAAATATTGTGTGTGCCTGGATAATACTGTTACTGTAGGATTCACTTTTCTCATTCCAAAGAATTTAATTATAATAAAATGTTCCAACTTGTTTTTACACCACTCTAAACTTTAAACTTATTTTTAAGGAGTATTATAAGTGACAAATATGGGTTTGATATAATCAAGCTGTTCTCTGTTCTTAATGTTTACTGAAAATGTTATTAATTAATGCTATTGATACATAATGTCATGGTTGTATACTCCAACTAATACATCAGCAGTAGTTTTAATTGTAATTATTAATTACATTTTTTCCCAAAAATATAAATATAATTATAACCTGTAGGATGTAAATTTTTAAGTCTGAGTGTAATTATAGAGAAATTAATAAATTAATTGTAGGTCTATTAATTGTGGTGCAGGACTTGTGTCCTGGAGGCAGGAACATCCTTCTATTGTTTATAGCCTGAGACCTAAAACTGTAGAGCCACCTATCAAGTAAGAAAAAAAACATAGATGCCTTAAGATAAAAAGAACTTTCTTCCTCCTAGAAATTCAAATGCACAACAACTTTGTAGTTAAATGGTAACATTTATAATACTAAAATAGTATTTATAGGTTGAGGGTAGCAAAATGGATATGTGATAACAAATATACTAAGTTTTTAAAGAGGAAAAACATGAGGTTTTTGACCAGGATTGTATCGAGGTTTGGTGCCCCAACTGATGGGAGTAGCTCCAGAGAAGGCCATCAAGTTGACTGTCAATGACTTAGTCCGTGACAAACTGTCAGACAAGAACGGACGATTACCTCTCTACGCTGAAGTCATCGCTGGAGGATGTGTGAGTGAAACATACATACCATACTCTAAATACATACCATAGCACCAAAATTGCAATCACAAAACTGTACTAAGTAAATAACAATTGAAATTTCTGGAATTTCTAAATAAATCGACATTCCCTTGGTATTCCTCATAAATTATCTGATGATTGTAATTGTGTATACATTCGTAATCTTTTTGAATGAGGGAATTCCCTTAGCAAACTTATAAAATGTAAGCTGTTATGAAGTAGAGAGGAAATGTTACAGTAGGTTCAAGTGGTATAGTTGTTGTTACAATCAGGTAAGTATTTAAAACAACTGTAATCAAATTCAGATACCCTAGAGAGCAATTACACATACACATATTGCATGTAGGGCAAGAGTTCAAGACAGTGAAAGCAGTTGATAATGCCCTTGTGAAGCCTGAAAATGATCTATTTGGATCATGCCATCTCCATCGATACTCCCATTGAATGCTTTATGATTCCAACACACAAAATGAAAAAGTGGTGTAGGCCTACTCTGGTACAACTTCATTAACCTACAAATTTAACACAATTATTGTTACAGGCAGGAGGAAGCCAAGTGGTATTTACAAATCCTCTGGAGATAGTCAAGATCCGCCTCCAGGTTGCTGGAGAAATCGCTACTGGAGAAAAGATCAGGGCCTGGAGTGTCGTCAAGGACCTAGGATTCTTTGGACTTTACAAGGTAACCCAACACGTTACATTATACACCCTGTTCCAAAAAGAATGGATCAAATCTACAGCTTAATATACGTTTACCAAGGGTCGTAGAAAAGTCAACTAAGGCTAATTTTAAAGCTAGCGTCTTAGGCATCTTTATTTTTTTTTTAGTACCCTTCAACAGTAATCAGCTGTTCCATTGTTGTTAGCACATTTGAGTTTTCAAAACATAAAGTTGCAATATGGAGGTTATCTATGTTTAGTTTACATTACTGTTTGCTGTTTGACAGGGTGCTAGAGCTTGTTTCCTACGAGACATTCCATTCAGTGCCATCTACTTCCCCACGTATGCCCACATGAAAGCAAAGCTGGCCAATGAGAATGGTTATAACACACCTTGGTCTCTTCTGGTAGCAGGAGCCATTGCAGGAGTTCCAGCCGCCTCCCTGGTCACGCCTGCCGATGTCATAAAGACTAGACTACAGGTTTCTATCTTAGTTAAATTTTATATTTAAGCAATTTGACTAAACAATAATTTTATAGTATTCATTTTGATAGCCCCTGGACTATGTATAAATGACGTTATAGACTTACCTCCGTCAGTAGTCCAAATTGTGTCTAACTTCAAATAATAAAGTTGTTCAAAGCTGATATGTTTCGTTGCAATGCAACATCGTCGGGGCTTTACGTCAAAAACATCAAAATAATTTACACATACAGTACATACACGGGACACAGGACATTTAGACACAAAATAACACGATAGCGCTATCATGACACGGCACGGCAGCGGCTGTAGGTACCGCTTTGGAAACATGTCAGCTTTGAACAACTTTATTATTTGAAGTTAGACACAATTTGGACTACTGACGGAGGTAAGACTATAATGTCATAATTTTAATACATTTTTGTGTAAAATAATAACTGATACAAAAGCTTGTGCGAGTTTTGTTTGGAAACTAATAAACAAATTTTTCAACAAAGGATGAACTAACACTATGAACTTGGTCTTTTGGAAACAACTGTGGCACAGATCACTAAGTAATAAGTGAAAAAGGATTTTGTGGTGGATATTTTCAACAACAGGCTTACCTTGCTGATGAAAATACATAAAAATGCAGAAATAAACACATAATTTTCTGGAGTTACTAGCTCCGCAAAACTTTTTTTGTGCATTTTAATCTATTTTCATCAGTAAGGTAAGCCTGCTGTTAAACCTATCCACCACAAAACCCTTAAAAACCCTGCCTAAAGCCATCTTTACCAACAATGTAATAACTAAGTTAGGTATGGATCAGGTGATGGGTGTCATTGCATACAGCCATCCTCAGAGTAGTTCACTGAATCAGGGATCCTGCTAGGGGTCTCAATCCTTCCTGCTAGGGGTCAGTTTTTGATACCTAGAAATCCCGGGATTGGCGTCTTTTAATCCCGGTATTAACGGGATTACAAAACCTATGTTTATCTTAACTTTTTTGTGAATTTGACGATTTTTACTTACGAAAAATAAATAAAAATACATCCAATAGCTCTTGAAACAAATATACTGTTTACTTGAATGACGATAAATTTATATATGAAATGTGGTTTAGCCTAAGCTGTGATCTATTTTAATTGGACAATTTAATTAACATTAAACTCAATAGGCCAACGTAGTGTAAATATATATTATGTTTCAAGTGTGTTTGACGTATTTTGATTTATTTTCTGTTCTGTAGATGTTATTAGGCCTACATAAGTTAGAAATTAATGAAAGTATAAGTTATTTTGAGTTTTCCTTTTGACATTAAACGCAAACAAGCAAACAAATTTATGTGACAAACATAACATGGCAATCGGTAATTGAAGTATTATTTCCCTAATAATATTGAAGGCCAACAAATTAACCTATAAACACACCATTATTATTTTATTATTAAAATTGATTATATTTATAGGGTATATAAGTTTTTCTTTGTATTTGGTTTTTAGTGCGGTTATTAAATCTTTTATAATAATAAATTACGTTTTTCGTATACACGCTACAAGCAGATGGTTTGTAGTTTGACCCTTAATTTTTCTTATTGCTGTCAGACGACATGAAAATTTCACGCTACAATTGGTGATTCTTTCCATACTATCTTTTTATCTTTATATTTTGATTTATTTAGTTTCCATATAATTCTTAGTAGTCAAATTTCTAGCTGTGCATCTTGACAAGTTTAGAGTTGAGTGAAGCAGCATGATGTGTAGGCTACGTCTGTGTGCGGTTGCTCGTGTTTTTTTTATGTATTCATTAAATTCTAAAGTTACACATCAACATTTATACAATGTATATAAGAATGAGAGGTGAGGGAAGTTCTGTGTGGTAATATTTCTTTACTTAGAAAATTACAAAATAACACTGGTAACACTGGTGTAACAGTGGTAAGGTTAGTTTAAAACATTAGAGGACTCAACAAGGGGACTTCACGCTCATTTAAAATGGCTGAAAAGTTAAAATCATTAAATAATTAATCCCGTGGTTGATCCCAGGATCTGCTGAAACGCTGAAACTAATCCTGAAATCCCGTAATTGGATTGAAGGCCCGGGATTGAGACCCCTAATCCTGACACATTTTCTGGTTCATAAACAAATCAATAATAATATCTTGTTTGAGAGCCAAAATGTAGTTTGTCATTTGGAAAAATTTTGTTTCCCAGGTGGTAGCTAGAGCTGGTCAAACAACATACAATGGTTTGACTGATGCAGCTGTGAAGATATATCGAGAGGAAGGACCAAGGGCTTTCTGGAAGGGTACTGTTGGTAAGTCATTTTGCAAATTTTGTATTCTAAAGTAGCTTTTTTCTTTCCAGCCCTAATATGTTATATAACCCACGCTAAATTGTTCCGAGACCAAAGGACTATTCAGAAGCTATGCAGCATACAAATAGTTACCTTATGTCTAAAGTAGAAATCTATTATCATATTTATCTTAACTTAAATTTATTTTGTATTTTTATTTTGTGTAGGATGGTTAAGTTCAAACCAGGGCATGTATAATTATTTGTTTTTACTATGGTTCTAAACATATGCATTTAGGTCGTAATTTTTAATTTTATATTTAGTACTAAATTATGACCAAATAAATCGCTTAACTTATCTTTTTTGCGGAATCAAATATAATGTACGTGTGAAATAATTAAATTGATTTTCAGTTATGCTTAAGTTAAGCATTTCTATTCATGTATTTATTTTTGTAAATGTGGAAATTTATATATGTGAATGTGTGTGTGAATGGGTCAGAAATTGTGTTACGTGCTTGCGCCTGTCGTGAAAATGCTGCCTGTGGACCTGGGATAGCGAGTCATGTCAAAATAGTGCTCGTCACACTGGCCGGCTTATCACTCCCCCCTCACCCTCCCCCCAGCAACCACTATCTCTCTCAATCTTTATCTCCTTACCCCAAGAAGCTAAAGGCGACGAATATAAATGCTCAATCATTACGTGTTCATATTGACGAGGTGCGTGAGATTTTTTGACATAGAGATTTAGACTTGATTGCCGTTTCTGAGTCTTCTTGGCTAAAACCGAGTATCCTGTCAGTCGAGGTGTCCCTTCCTGGTTATATTCTGCTTAAAAATAACAGGACGGGAAAGCAGTGTGGAGCAGTTGCGGTGTATATCAGTGAGAGACTTATATGTTCATCTGTTCACTCCTTGCCTACGGAGTACTCGGCAAAGTCAGAATTCTTATTCATTGATATTAGTTTGTCAGGAGCAGATTCCTTGCTGTTGGGAGTGTTTTATCGCCACCTAGAGTTGGACAGCTGCTAGACTTTGAGAATGCACTCTTGTACCTAATGTTTAGGTATAGTCATGTCTTGATCGTGGGTGAATTTAACACGTTCAGGGCGGGAATTCTCGTCACGCTATACTGGCACCACTAGTGCGGTGCGAGAAATGTCAGGATTTCAGGCCGATCACCATTTCTCCTGCTCTATCTAAAGGCCTTGAAAGAATTGTACACTGTCAAACTACTGACTTTTTGACTGAAAATAACATCCTCTTTCACTATCAATATGGTTTTTGCAAAGGTCACAGTTACAGAAACAGCACTTCTTTGAGTTACCGATGGCATTAGAATCTCAATGGAACGTCGACAGGGTACAATTCTTACCTTATTTGATTTTTCTAAAGCATTCGATGGTGTAAATCACAGCCAATAATGCAAAAATTGAGGACCATAGGGATTTCTGATAGTGTTCTTGAATGGCTAAGATCATATCTGTCAGATAGACGGTAGTGTGTTCAGGTTGATGACTTGAGATCAATCTGGGGTACAGTTACATGTGATGTGCCTCAAGGGTCAATCCTTGGGCCTCTGCTTTTCGTACTGTACATCAATGACATAGGCACAGTTCTCACTCACTGTAATTACCACATGTACGCTGACGACCTACAAATTCACGCTTACTTCAATACCAATGGCATTAACGATTGTGTTTCAAACATTAACGAAGACATTGGACGAATCATTAAATGGACCTAAAACATGGGGACAATCAATCATGACAAAAGCCAAACCCATCTTAATCTGCCATCAACAACTGCAAGTCTCAATTGAATTTCATGCTACGAATCCACGGAACTGAACTACCATACTGTGACAAAGTGAAAAACCTAGGACTGACTCTCAACACTACACTCTCTTGGGGAGATGCAGTGATTGGCATTCGTTATAAGGTTTTATCATCAATTTAAAAAATTACAAACTCTCTTGCCATTTCACATAAATCTCCACCTTGTCAAATCACTCGTATTTCCTCACTTCACTTACTGCAACTCTGTGATCAATGACATGAGACTGTAAATCTTGCTGGTGTGCTGCAACACTCGCAGTGTTATTGCTTGCGATTTGCTTTTCACCTTTCTATATTGAATCAAAAATATTAAAGTTTAACGATCAGAGGTTACTTATAATAACTATGTTCGCAATTTCAATTTTTTTTTTATTGATCGCCAAAAATTTTGAAAGTGACTTCAGCTTTGTAGCCGAAGGTAGTTTGAAGAGTTCATACACTGCATCTTTCACTTTACACATACCTCATCATAGGAGTATACAGCATATGGCAGAGGCAGAGCCTTTGTTCTAACTGCCTGCCGTCTTTGGAACAATCTACCTTTATCCATTAAAATGCATAGTCATCCAGTTTGTGGTGGAACTAAAAAAATAGTACTTTGAGCGTATATAGCGTCGTCTGGTGCCTCCTAGGGCTGTTTTGGTGCTTGTGTTTAAGTGACGGAGGGTGTGAGTGATTTTGTTAGACAATTTTTGTTGTTTTTAAAAATTGTGGTGTGATTAGCCTCCGGATTGCGAATAATAACTGGTGATAGTGGTTTAAATACCTTATTCTTGCAATCCGATTGTTGTCTTCACAACTAGTTTAGACCTGCTAGGAGGTCATCATCAGGTGTGTACAAGGATGATATTACTTCATATGAAGGTCGTCAGTAACAGTTTTTTACACTTACACAAACACAGGACGAATAAACACATAGCGCGCACACATATACGGCTGATAAAATGTAACATTGAACTTGACAAGCGGACCCGTGTTGAAAATGCAGAAGTTGCGTCTAGACTGTAGGGTACACAGCTGATCAGGTATCAGGCGAATTTTCTTATCGCTCGTCGGTTCCTTTCCCATTGTCTCTGGCCTCCCCTCCCCTCTCCAGTATTTATAATGCGGTGTTGTATATGACGTTTGAATTAAAATAAAGTTGGTCGTTTAAAACATTACCCATGTCTGATTTGACGGCTCTATATATCTCAAATCCTTCCAAGGTGTTAATTTTAAACTTGTCCTGTGACGTATGTAAAATTTCCATGTTTTCATTAATGCTGCTATAATTATGCTGATGTGAAACTAAATGTTCGGTAAAGGTTGAAGTTTGTTTTGAGGTGGTCTTCTTTGGTATGTGCTCCTTAAAGCGTTTGGAGAAAGAGCGGGAGGTTTGGCCATGTTCAAGAAAGTCTACCAAAATCACTCCCTGAGCGTCCCAAACACATTAGCCATGATTTTTCTTACTGATATCGTCTGCAAAAACTTTATCAGTTTCTTGGGGGAATGCATGTAACCCCATTCCATCAACTGCCTTTTTGTTTCACAGTTGACGTGCTTTACCCAAGTCTCGTCACAAGTCACGATACGATCAATATAATGGTTTCCACTTTTATCTTACTATTCCATAAATGTCAGTGCTGCAGCAACTCTTTGTTTTTTTTTTTTTTTTTTGTCTTCTGTTAGCAACTTCGGAACCCACCTGGTACAAAATTTGTGGTGTCCAAGATTACCAACCCCTATTTCATTAACTAAACTCTGTAAAATTGAGGAAGATGTTGACGATTTTCACAGATTTTTCATCAATTTTCACCACTAATTCATGAGTCACAAGACTTGGGCTACCGCTGCATTCCTTGTCATGAAAATTGGTTCAGCCATTTTTAAAATCAATGCACCACTGCCTCACTTGGCTTTCACTCATTATTCCTTGTCCGTACAGATCACAAATCTGGCGATAAATTTCAATAGGTTTTTTTAATTTTTGCCAACAAAAACCTTATCACACCATGCACTTTACAAATGGCGGGATTTACAATTGTAGCGCTCATTTCAAAACTCCACTGCATACAATGTACAGAAGACACGATGCTCTAGCTACCACGGCTGGTTGCATACCAAGTGTGAGAACACTCTGACGCCAAGATGGTGGTTCTAGCCCCCCCTACTGCCACGCCAGGCCAAAACATCTGTCACTTTCTAGATAGCCCTTGTATAATGAAATTAGTGGTTTAAATGTTATTTTTCCTTTGTTCTTTCTTTACTGTACAGTTTAATTTAGTTTTTAGGGGGAAAAAATATGTATTTCTGTGTTTTGTTTACTCTGATGCTTTGTATTGTATTTATGTGGTAAATAAAGCAGTTCTTCATTTAATTTAATTTCATAGTAATATCATAATATGTAATTATTACATTATACTTTATTGTGGCATAGGTTAACATCGATATAATTGCTTCTGTAGTATAAATACCTCTTATTTACTTATATTTTAGATTTAAAGTATTCCTGAAAATTGCTTACTAGGATCTCTGAAAATCTCCAACGAACTTTTGATTTTTGTACCGCAGGTGCTGTTACATTAATAATTAGACTGTGGTCAAAGCAACAACTTACAGTTTCAACCTAGTTATAATCAGATAGAAAACTGGTTTGAAACATTTGATCATTCGATCTGTGCTACAAATCTTACATCCATGATCTTGTAGTTTGCAATGTGTTTTGCTAATCAGTTGCTTTCCTTGCAGCACGAGTGTGTCGGTCTTCTCCCCAATTTGGAGTCACATTATTAACCTATGAAGTACTTCAGCGGTTATTCTATGTGGACTTTGGAGGATCGTAAGTGTTTTCTTATATTTTTAGAAACAGTTTGTTTTAGTATAATATACTATATTTTTAAGGACAACAATCTGTACATATTATTTCACTAGTGTCTAAAGTGACTTTTTTTGACAAAAGTTCAAGTTTATCAAGTTTTTTATTTGCTTATGATATGTACATCAAGCCTATCACATGTTGGAAATTGGTACAAATGTCAAGATTGTATGTCTGCATGAATAACGTATTTGTCTTATTAATTTTTCTTATCATCTTTTTTTTTTTCAGACGACCAGCTGGTTCTGAGCAAAAGATACCGTCCACAGGTATACCGGAGTTGGACAAGTCGACTAATCCTGATCACGTTGGAGGCTACCATGCCGCTTTGCCCATTATCAGTGGCATTGAATCCAAATTTGGCCTCAGCCTGCCCAAAAACCCATCATTGGGTTAAGGGTCTAACCTGGTATCTGGATCAAAGCTTTACACACCTCATGCTTTCAAACTTTCAAAACAGTTACTATTGAAATGATTTATGTTACAATGCAGTATGTTTTCATGCATACAAGAATATTTATGAAACAGAATGAACACAAATGTATTAACATTTCTTTTCTTTATTCGATAGAATTTAAAAAATGTATTCATCGTGTATTGAAATTTTAAAAGATACCAACCCATAATTTTTTAAGATAAGCTTTAAAAACACATTCATATTCTAAACTTACTCTATTGACTGTAGAGAAACGCAATTTCAACATTTAATTATTTTAATGGAGCTAGAAAGCAAAATCTAAATTTTGACAATTTGTACAGAGTAGTCTATGTTTTAAATCTTCTATTTTAATATTAGAATAAAATTCCTTTTATAAAGTATGGGTCAATAATATTGTATTTCCTTAAGCTAAAGAAATGGAACTATCTTTCTCAAATGAATTTTGAATTCAGATATTTACTAACATACAACTACAACTGAACTCATACCTTACCAATTTCATTTTGTTTCTAAATAACTTAGATTTTTTAATTTGTTGCACTATTAATTTACAAGACAATTAAATAATATAAAATGTAATTTTACAGATATTCAGTTAATTCTTTATTGCCAAACTCCTTTTAGGACCTCTCATTATAAACACGAGCTTAATACTACGTGCAGAAATTCAAACTAGTAAGTTACAGTAAAATTTCAAAAGGATGAGTTGAAATGTAGCATTTACCATTAAGAGACGTAGGAATGTTTTTTACGTTGGTTTATCTGCTCATTTGAAAACGGAAAGAATGTGTTAAAGTCTGCTCAATATTAATATTTTCATTAGTAAATCAACAAAATAATATTAACTGTATAGACGTAGTGCTAACTTTTTTAATCTAATTCTAAGCACATCGCTTTTCTTGGCACTCACCCCCTTATATGTGCATTCCCTTAATGAAAATTGTATTAATCAATGTAGCCCCTTGAGTTTGACTAATTATATCAAAAATGTGTGTTTCCCACTCTCAACAAATGGCCCCCGTTATTCATCCTAACACACATTTATGTTATGATGTCGTCGGCTGAAATAAGTTAAATATATGTCCTTTTTTATACTCGATATATCCTCTTAAAATTTAATGTTACTCTTGAACATTACTCATACTATTTTAAATTATATATGAACCACCATTACTGCCTTCACCAGTAGTAACTTTTAGAAATCAGTCCACATAATTTTGAAGTTTATACATTTCATAAATTATATAGATTTATCATGATGTTATCACTTAGCTGTAAGAAAATTGTTTAATTGTCTGTACACTTGATTATTTGTAGAGTTTTACTATGTCAAAGTTGGTGTGTATAATTAATCATAGGGAAATAATCACTACAATAAATTTAGCTAATATTGCATAAAACATCAATAACACAGCAAACAAAGTTACACTTTAGATGTATAAAAAGTATCAGTCTAATAAATTATAAGTAGTAAAATTATTTCCCTTTGAGTATAATTTAATCCGTATTTAAAATGCTGATTAAACACACCATCTTCATCCTATTTTAAGTATATTCATTTCCTGTTCTACGTTTAATGTACCGTACCTAAAACTACTCCACATATAAAAAAATGTATATTTTCTTAGTGACAAGTAAAACTTGTGAGAATGTGATAAACATGGTCCTGTATTTAAAGTACTGCTTCAAAAGCATATATATCGAATCGATACAAGTTGTTATATTGTTATATTTCCTTTACTGTTATAATTAGAGCTTTTAAAGCTTACTGGTATTATGAGTACAAATGCTTTACTATTTTGATGGTGCATAGTTGAGTTAGATTATTTCTTTCCTTGACATGTTGGTTTTTGTTTTTGTTGCATGTCCACACCCAGGGTGAAACCTGAGCTTCTAATTCTTTATTTCCAAAGCTTTGTATAGTGTGCTGTTTGAATCAAATTTTCAAAAGTAATTTAAACCTTAATCAAAAACCTGAAAATAATAATCATTAAATGAATTTTATTTTATATACATTCTTTTAAAACATTTGTACTCAGATAAACTATTGATTATATTTCTGTTACATGTTTTGGTTGTTAAATTTACAAAGTCTTACAATCATGGCCTTTTATTTTTTGTCTTATAATGTTAATCTGTTTATATTTTAATACTAGGTATAAACTTTTTATTTTTAATTAGCAATTTTCATTCTATTAGTTAATTTTTTAATGTACCATTTGAGGTTAAAACACTGTTGCATTTGGGTAAGCATTTAAGTCCAAGTTATATAATGACAACCTGATAATGTGTCTAGACAACTTTAGTGATCTTATATGTCTAGATAACAGTGTTTTATTGACTTCCAGTATTAGATGTTAAGCAAATTCATAGTATATCATCATACAATTATATTCTTTTAAATATTTAGTTTTATTATATAGTTTATGTAATTAGCTTTGTTTTTATCATTTATTTCAAAATAAGGCCATGGTACATACAATTAAAATTATATTAGATTTTATTAGTGCAGTGGCGATAACATAATTTGTACAAACCGTTTTGTATGTCTTTTGGATCATCAACGTCCATTAACTATTGTATTAAGGATTAGTTCAACATTATTTATCTTGCATGTGCCTCTGCAACGACATTGTTTGTAGTTTTTTGTTGTTAAAAGTTTCTGCCAGATTTATTGTTACTTTATTGAAAAACTGTGATGTACAAATATGATAAAGGATCTGAAATTCTTATTGTGTTTTCATGACTTATAACCTTGTTATTGACCAATAATTATGGTACAATACCTTGTCAAGTAATCCAAATTTTTGATTCAGGTAAATAACCTATGTGTTTCGGCCGTAAATGCGGCATCGTCGGAGTTACATAACAAAAGGCATCGATGTCACACGCACCTTGTTATTGTACTGCAGTTAATTTAAATATTCTCTTTTTCATTTTACTGATGGAATTGTAAAGCTAAAATATCTCAAGGCATTGATTGGGTTGGAGCCTAGGCACGTCAGTCATCTGAAGGATTTTTGCTCTCCCCATTTAGTGCCTCAGGGCCCATCAAACCTGAGTTGCTTGGTAAAATTGAAATGTCATAAAGTAAATAGTCTTCGGTCTCCTCAGCCTGCCCACATTTTGTGCATGCTGTATCCTCTCTGTGGATCTTCAGGGGATGTATCATCCAGCCTAGTGAAAAGTGGGCCAAGATTCATGGGTACAAAAGTATTAACAAGATTTCAATCATTAGAAGTATTGGAGATGAGGAAATTATAAAAATTAAATTATAAGGGTTCCTTCTCGAGAAGCTTACTTCTCTGTGAAAGGATTTACCAATTGAAACTTGAAAAAATAATTCAACAATATCCATTCCCAGCTCTGGTTTCGCCAGGTTTTTTTTTTATTCATGTTTCTTTAGCTTCTAAACATGGGTAGAATAACTATCTTCACCCATCTATCTCCTACTCTTCTCTTTACCCACCTTTCTGCAATCCTTTACCCTAGTTCTGTTACACATGGGTGTCCATCCACATGGGCAAGAAGGGGCTCGAGCCCCCCCCCCTTTGAGACCCTACCAGGGTGATCATACAGACTGAGAATTCCGGGAATTTTGCGTAAATTTATTGAATCAGGAACTATGCAAACACTTTTAACTCGCACTGGAAAAACCTGTTTTAGTCTGCAGTCACGGTGGTATTGCGATCGTCATCCGTGGATACGGCGAAATAGTAAACAGCTTCCGAGGTCACGGTAAGGATGAGAACATCTGTTCACGAAAAGCTAGATAACATCTTCATTTCTCACGGCAAAATCATGAACGTCTTTCGTGGTTAAGGAAAAACTGAGAACACCTTCAGTAGTCATGGCAAGATCGAGAACATATTCTGCTATCACAGCGAAATCATGAAAATAATCCACTATCTTGACGAAACCGTAAACATGTTCCGCAATCATGGTAAAATAGATAACATCTTCAGTAGTCACAGTGAAATCATGAACGTCTTCCAGGGTTGGTGTAAAATCGAGTACATTGTCTGCGATCATGGCGAAATCTTAAACATCTTCCGTGGTTATAGCAAAATTGAGAACATCTTCAGTAGTCCCAGCAAAATTACGAGTATCTTCCGAGGTTAAAAAAAACTTCTGTGACATCTTCCGCGGTCACGGGACATCATTGTCTTTTTCAATTCAAATTCTCTTTATTCATTCACAGTACAAGTTTTTATACAACGAATAGCGTCAAATAAATATAAAGATGAATTATGCTTTACTTATCGCTAAAACAATCATTATCTTTACAAAACAAATGTTAAGCTTAAGAAGAATAAACAAAACAAAATTAAATCAAATCATCTTTCTAAACTATCATTTATGATTTCTCTTGAATTCCAAAATTCATCCAATGAATACAAAGACAATGAAAGGAGATAATTTTTCAATCTTTTTTTAAAAACATCAACACTTTTTTCCTCTATTGTAATTTTAGGTAAATTAAATAAGAATTTTATGCCAATGAAACTACATTTCTTCTAAAAAAACTTTAATTTATGTCGTTCAACCTGCCTAGTATGCCTTAATTTATAGTGTCGAATATTTGTACTATTAGTTTGGATGTTTAATCTTTTTACATGTAATATAGTTTCATAAATATACAAGTCATAGACTGTCATAACACCTAATTTAGAAAAGAATGGTTTCATTGATTGGCGTTTATTTTTAATTTTGAAAATAATTCGGAGTGTTTTTTTTTTTTATAATGAAGAATTTTATCCAAATTTTTCTGGGTAGTTCCTCCATAAATTGCTATACCATAGGATATGTGAGAATTTATTAATGCAAAGTATATGGTTTTTAAAGTATCAATATCACACACCCTTGACATTTTGTCGCAGGGCATATCTACCTTTTGACATTTTATCAATTACATGCTCAACATGCTTATCCCAATTTAGGTTTTGAACCAATATCAATCCGAGAAATTTTGTGTACTCCACTTGACTCAAGTTTGAATTATCAAGGTAAATATTCGGGTTCAATTTAAGAGTGAAAATTTAAAAACGTACGTTTTCAGGAAAAGCACTTTGTACATTTTTTTCCCCTTTTTTCAAAACTCTTATTATTTTTTTTATTTCATTAACATTTGAAGTTTCATAAAATGTCCATGGTAACGCAATATCTTTGGTAGTTTTTTTTTAAAGAGCATTTTTAGTGGAAAAACACAAAATCCTGTCACGACCATAACAGACGTTTAAATGAATATTAAAAATAGTTAATACTATTTTTATAACTATGTTTTGCTACAAACTAATTTACTTTTATGACCATTATACAATAAAAAGGTCACTGAGCTTTTGGTATATTTGGTCTTTCTAGAAAAAATAAAAAAACTCAAAAAATTGAAAAAAAAGCCATTAAAATCTTTTTAAGTTTGTATAACTACGAAAAAACTTACCTGAGACCCGAAAAATCGTTATGTTTGTATAGAGGTTTGCTTCTTTTGTGTATAAAACATTGAAATATGACGATATTTTAATTTTTGAAATTTTTATGATAGAAATCATAAACGTGATGGTCAGGGACAAGCGGTACGGTCGTGAATTTTCTGAAATAATCTAAATCTTTCTAAACAATCCTTCAATTATACTGTTAGTTATAATAAAAATATGTGTTTCAATTGAACTAAACTGTTCAATTTACAATTATATTAAAGTTATTGTCACGACCAAACACACTATAATCCATAAGGCTGGATTGGTCGTGAAAAAAACCGCGATGGTCGTGAATCTTTGGTCGTGAAATTACATGTTATTTGGCTCTGTTCTGATGGTAGCCCTGCACCTCATGTTCGAGGATACAAAGTGGACTTCTAGGTTAATCTAGCAATTGAAATATCTTATAAACAAAAATTAACACCATGTCTACTTCATCGAATGACTACGTACGGTCATGGACACACCAAAATTACAAAAAACACAATCTTTCCTTTATTAATCTTGTAATTCCTCCTTTCAACTCGAAACGACCGGCACTACAATCCTGACGTACACCCTGAACTAGTCTCTAAAACCAACTGACTCCATCGACGCCAGGCTTGCCACTGTCGTGCTCCAAAGTTGAAAATTTTTCCCAAATGGTCGTGACGCCAAATCGAGGGACAGACTTATTTTGTCATGGTAGTCAGTTTGCAATGACAATAAAATTATAATATGCTCCTTTTTTGTAAGTTTAATAACCATTGATGACATAAAAATATGGCTTTATATATTTCGGCATGAATAATTAGTCTAAAAACAGCGTGAAAGTTGGAAAATGTACCCTAGGGACACGTCATGGTCGTGAATTTCGAGACTTTGAAAATACGAAAAAAATACCTAGAACCTATTTAAAACCAAATAAATGTGTGTAACATGTTGCCCCCGTCCCAAAAAATATTAAAACACATAATAATAAACTACAAATCCAGTATCTACGAAGTAAAAGGCCAGGGACATGAAAACGTACGTTTTTAAATTTTCACTCTTACATCTTGATTGTTTTGTGGAGAATGATACAAAATTTGATTTACTGTAATTTATTAGGAGATTTTTGCTACTTGAGAAATCATTAATTGATAAAAGATTTAGAAAAGATATCAGTTCGACTTCCTCTTGGGAATTGCCTGTAACTGTGATGTTGGTGTCATCAGCATAAAGACACACTGAACTTCCTCCATCGATAGCTAGTGGGAACCCCCTCATATAACAAAGAAATAAAAGAGGGCCCAAAATAGATCCCTGGGGGACACCATATTTAATATTTTTGTATTCAGAGTAAACATTTTGAGTATAAGAGTATTTACTATTTGGATGGCAGAAATTATGCTGTATTTGGACACATTGTTGCCTTCCTTGCAAGTATGAACTGAAACACTTAAGCTCTTTATTATTTATATTTAAACCGTGAAGAATTTCTAGCAATTTCTTATGTGAAACAGAGTCAAATGCTTTTGAAAAATCGAGAAAAATTCCAATTACCTTCTCATTTCTGTCAATGGAGTCAATTATTGATTCGGTAAAATCGATACCAGCAGTTATCGTAGATTTTCCCTGTCGGAAGCCATGTTGCTCGGGATCCAACAATTTGTTTGATTCAAGGAAGGTTTAAAAGCTGGTCATATACTACTTTTTCATAAATTTTTGAAAACACAAGCAATAACAAGATTGGTCTATAACTTGTGGGATAACATTCGTCCCCCTTTTTATAGACTCGTACTATTTTGGCAACTTTTAATTTATGAGGAAAGATACCACAAATTAAAGAGGAATTTATTATATGAGTTAATGGTTTTGATATAAGAGGAAAAGCATGTTTAACAATGGTAACTGGTTATTTCATCCATCCCTGTTGAAAATTTATTATCTAAAGACTTAACTATCTTTTCTATTAGCCCTTTATCAACTTCTGTAAATTTGAAGCTGGTCTCCCACAATCATGGTAAGATCGTCAATTTTTGATCGCGCATCTAAGTAAACGCTCTTTGTGGGCGTGCAAATTTGCACTCGGTTCAGCTTAACTCGATCCAAGCTTGGCCCGATAATCATTTTCTGCCCGTACAGATCTCTTGTGCCAACCGTTGGTCCGACCAGCACCGAAAATATTCAGTTCCCGTACCCGCAGACCCCAAGTATAAGGTACACTTGGAGACTAGGAATCAAGACCGGGAAAACCAGGTTTTTCTGTCGGGAAATCTGGAAAGACTAGTGAA